CAGCAAATATTGAAATGGTGGGGGGGGGAAGAAAGAAAAAGAATATTCTGCAAGAATAGGTCTTTGAGCTTTTTCAATATGTTGCTTTGATTGTTTTTATATTGTCAACCAGTACAATGTAGAGACATCATCCTCTAGATTTCCCTGCTTTGGCTCACTTCTGCTAAAACAAAGATGATCATGCTGATTCAGACAACTGTTAGAATCACCTAGCTAACACTTTGTGGGATCTATAGCAGTTAAGAGATCAGCAGTCTATCTAACCCTCTTCCCCCAGAAACTGTGTCCTAAAAATAGTCATCCATTTCACCTGGGAGTTAAGCAGGTGCAAGTACATTCATGAGCTGTCCTGAAGGAACACATGAATGGCTGTCAGCAAAAGCAGCAGTCAGACTTTTTTTGCAAGGGTAAGGAAGCCAAATGCCTCAAATTATTCAAATTATTGAATAGGTGGGGTTGTTGCCACAGACCTATTCTAGCATTTGCATTAGGTGTGCAGCAAATGATTGCTGTTTTCTCTGTTATCCATGAGTCTTCAGGGCTTCTCTACTGCTTATACTAAATCTACCCATGCCCTAACTTGTCCGATTTACCACTGATTGTATTCCTACAGAATCACAGAATATGCTGAGGTGGAAGGGACCCATCAGGATCATCAAGTCCAGCTCCTGGCTCTGGACAGGACATCCCCAAGAGTCACACCCTGTACCTGAGAGTGTTGTCCAAACACTTCTTCAAATGTGCCCAAATCACAAAGCACTGTCCTAATCACTTCTTCTGTCAGACTTGGTGCTGTAAGAACTTCCCTGGGGAGCCTGTTCCAGTGCTCAGCCACCCTCTGAGTGAAGAGCCTTTTCCTGATATCCAACCTAAACCTCCCCTGACACATCTTCAGGCTGTTCCCTTGTGTCCTCTCACTGCTCACAACAAAGAAGACATCAGTGTCTGCCCTTCTTCGCCTCACAGGGAGTTGTAACTGCAGTGAGGTCTCCCCTCAGTCTCCTTCAGGCTGAACAGACCAAGTGACCTCAGCTTCTCCTCAAAGCCCTTCACCACCCTCGTGGCCTCCTTTGGACACTCTCTAACAGATTAATAGCATAACCCAAATTCTTCCCCCTACTCCAGCTCAACAGCTGTTGCTGTGGGTATTTTTTCTTGGCTTTTCTTTGGAAACAGACATTGCACAGAAAGTAGGCTCTAGCTGTCCTGAGTCTGCAGGCATGAGCCTACACCCTTGCACATCCTCCCCACATCCTCCCTGATGGGTACACACGTGATTTTTTCTCAAGCAAGGGAGAACAAGGCAGAGCCAAGTGTGAGGCTGCAGGAGCAGACAGGACAATTGGAAGGTGGGATGTAGGGATAAGAAAATCTATAGCCAGCACAGCACCCTCTTAACTCCTGAAACACATCCTTTGGGTGTTGAGTCATGAGGTCTGAGACATGAGAAACACAAAGGCATGGCAAAGTTTGCCTTTCAAAGAGCTCTGCTGAGGGAACCTCTTCAAGGTTCCAGCACTGCCCATGCTGCAGCCAGCAGGAGCCCAGACCACAGTCTTCTGAAAAAGGAGGAATTCAACTAGTGTTGCTTTAAAATTAATAGCTTGAAGGACAGGTGGAAAGGAAGATCAGGGAGCAGCTTCTGTTTTCCAACCCACTCCTGCAGCATTACAAGGTGTTAGAGATTTCCTCCCCCTTGTGTGTGGGCTGGATTCCCCTACGTGACACCAGGAGATTTCATGGCCAGTGTTCACTCTCCTGCTTGCATCTTCAGCACATGGACACCCAAAGCATATGACTCATCTTTTCCCATGTTCTAATAAATTTCTTCCACGTGCCTGAAGCCTCTTAGCCCTCAATCACACGCCTCTGTGTACACTTATCTCTGTTTAATGTTGTTAATCACAGAAAACACTGATAATATTACCTTTACCCTTCCTCACATAATAATCCCAGGCAAACATGGCATAAAGGTTATGCACTCACCCTAACATTTATTACTTTACTACAGCTATATAAAACAAGTTGTGAAATTTATTTTCTAGTTCTTGTCAACTGTTTTCAAATACTTCAATCACAAACACACGGTTGAAAGTGACCTGAAAGGGATGGTTATCAGAATTGAGACTGGAGGAATTTCCGGCTCTTTGTTTTGTTTTTCCATCCCCAGACTGATTAAGGTCCAACTTGGAGGTGGTGATTTGCAATGTTTTCATTTTAAGAATAAATATACCTTATTCATTACCTGAATGTAGGCCCTGCAATGAGGCCACCTGTTTCCAGGCACCTCCATTAGGCAGGACACAGCTATTAGTCTGAGCCAAAGGAGGGCAAGAAAGTCTTAATTAAAATAAAAAAAGGAAAACAAAATTTGTAACAATAAGGCCCACACATTCTGCTGCAGTCACATAAGATATAACTCAGGAAAGCTCTTAGTCATGTATTTAAGAAAATGTATGTCCAATCTTGCCCTGAAAAGGCTTCTGTGTAAGTAAGTGATGTTTGTAATAAGATCTCCGTGACTGTACATAGTAAACAGATTTGCTGCCAAACCCAAAGTCTGCTTGACAATCACCACAGCACACCTTATTGCTGAAGTATGTCAGACGAAGGTCACAAGTATTAAATAACTATCCAAAAACACAGCAGCTAGTGATACCTGTGGATAAATGAGGCCCACACTGATATTTACAAGATGTATTTGACAGGCACTGCAGAGACATGCCAGATACCAGCCCAACAGTGATGAGTGAAGACTTGTGCTGTGCTCCAGCAGCCTCCTCTGGACCCACAGACACAACTTCTTACACACTCCATCAGTTTTCAAATGCACTCTCCATGCTACAGCACATGGATCTGCTTTTCCATGCCACAGATCCCACCCATCAAAGCATTCCCTTGCAGAACCACTACAGAAAACACAAAGATGCCTTACCAACTCAAAATATTTTATTTTCCAGTTTTGAAGCTTATTGAACTCACAGCAAACCATGCCAAATGCTTTTATGAAATTCAGTATTACTCTTCACACCTATATATGTACCTGTGGCCTAAATTACACTGATATAAAGCAACTTTAGGAATATGCTGATAGTCATAATGTTAAAATATATTAAGAAGATTTCTCATGTTAAGAAAAATTAGCTGATCCCAGTTAATTCTAATGCACTCACTCTAATGCAGAGTAAAAAATTTCACATAAATTATTTTTCAAGGATAAAGTGCAGATTCTCTCAAATTAATGCAGTTCAAGAGTCTGTATTAATTTTCCAGAATGTCTACTTAGAAAAAGAGATTAAATATAAAAATTGTGTCAAACATTTCAAAACAAAAACAATTCAAGTTTCCTACTATAATGGAATCCTTCAGTTGTTAAAGAAAATATTGTTTCTGACCTCAATCAGAAAGAAGAAAACATTTTAATTCAGCCCCAATTTCTGCTTCAGGTGGTTCACTAGTTGTTTTCAGAATATTTAATTTCCCACCAATTCCCAAACTGAACGCAATATTTTAATTCAGTGTAAGCTATAAATAAAGCCCCAGTGTGTGTTGGAGTGGGTCCAGGGAAGGGCCACAGAAATGCTGAGAGGGCTGGAGCACTTCAGCCTCTGAAGACAGCCTGAGGGAGATGGGACTGTTCAGCCTGGAGAAGAGAAGGCTCTGGGAGGAGGCCACCTTATTGTGGCCTTCCAGTACCTAAAGGGGACTACAAGAAAGATGGGGACACCCTTTTCAGCAGGGCCTGTTGCAACAGGACAAGGGATAAAGGTTTTGAACTAAAAGAGGGAATATTTAGACTAGATATAAGGAAGAAATTTGTTAAGTGAGAGGTCCAAGATAATGGAATGGGTGGCCCAGAGAGGTGGCAGGTGGTCTATCCCTGGAAACATTCAAGGTCAGATTGGATGGGGCTCTGAGCAACCTGATCTAGGTGAAAATGTCCTGCTCACTGCAGGGGCTTGGACTAGATGACCTTTAAAGGTCTCTTCCAACCCAAAATATACTGTGACTCCTTCTGCCTAGCTTTGTTCTCTTGCCCTTCTCTGGATACACTGCAGCACCTCCATGCTCTTTTTGTCATGAGGGGTCCAAACCTGAACAAAAGATTCAAGGTGTGCCCTCCCCAGTGGGACAATCCTGCCCTGGTCCTGCTGGCCACACTATTACTGATACAGGCCAGGTGCCATTGGTCTTCTTGCCCACCTGGGCACATGGTCAGCTGGCTGATGACCAGCACCCCAATAGTCCTTCCAATCGCTCCCATCCTCATGGACCCTGTTAGTGCAAGGATCCTGAGCATCATTATCCCCATTTACCAAGCAGAGAACCACAGCACCATGTAACACCACAGACTAGTGGCAGAAGACATCCCAGACTCCAAATCCTACCTTCCTTTTCTAGGCCAGTGACAGAGAACCTGCTGTCCACAGGAAGAACACCTGACATATTTACAAACAGTAACTGTGTATTTACCAATTTAGGAGGTGAATTGCCAAGGAATGTAAAAATCTTGCCCTAGAGAGAGATCATTTTTTCTCTAGGTGGACAGCCCACATGGGTTTGGGGATTTCAGAACAAGCATCTGAGACTATATATACTGATCAGAATTAGCTATGGTGAGCTCACGTCATAGAGTGAGAGATGATCTATGATAATGGAGGAAACACGGAAAAATGCTGTGTTGGACATATGACAGCAGTCCAGGGTGAAATAAGATTTCTAAAAGTCAAAAAAGATGAAAAATAATTACCCTGAATTAACTCTAAATCATGGTCATTCTAATAGCTAAAAAATAAAAATAAAAGAAAATCATATTGTAAGACAGTTTGGCACCATCAAGTGCTCAGTAACAGTATAAAATGGTATAAAATCTTAGTAAATCACATGGTGTAAAAACACTTACACCATGCATACATGGCTGGAGAATCAAGAGTTGTCTTTACTGCTCCTTCAGTACTGCAGCTCACAGGCATTTCTGCCAGAAGTTGTTTCGACATGGACAGTGGCTATTTTTGGTGCAAGAATATACAGGTTCCTGAAGCTGATCTTACAGCTCCTGCACAACAGGAGCACAGGAAGCTTCTAAACCTTTGCCAATCCATCTTCAATAACTGCACCATTCAGGATAATCTTAGGAGTCTGCTTCTTGTCCCCGGGTTCTTCAGCTGCACACTCCGGAGGCTCTAGGTCATGGTATTTTCTCCGATAGACCACTCTGGAGATTACAGTTATCAGAAACATTTCCATGATGAGCAGCTGCTGGGCTATATCTGCCAAGAAAAGCGAAAAAGGGAGACAAAGAAAAGCCCCCAAAAGGGGAAATTACTATCATACAAAAAATGAGTAATTGGCTTATTAATTTTCACTTCTCTAACAAACTCTATCATCCTGTCCCCATGTCTCTCACACTCAGCAATGACATCAGTTACAGAATTCCAGCATTGCCCATCAATAAGTGTGCAATAAATTATGCATCCAAAAACACAAGAGATTCAACAGCAGTTATGCAGGTTGATTTCTTTTCCTCTCATTTCTGATTCCAGCTCTTCTCATTATCAAGTTGTTCTCTACAGCCATGACAGCTATAAAACTTTTGTTCTTGTTTTTAAACTAAAAAATGAGATTCTCCAAAAGCTAGTGATACCGTGAAATTTGTATTTTGGGAAAACACCAGAGATTGCATTAGCCACACTGAACTGGTACTTTTATAAGTAAATGAAGAACATTCTTTCCCCAAAAAACTTACATGATCCTCTTGCTGTAGAGGAGAGTGGTGGAGCACAGGGAATTATTTTTTGTGTAGCGAATATGTTGATAATAGTGGTCTGCAGGTGGTTCAGAATGACAATAAACTGCACCAGAAAGGGAAAACAAATGTCTTAGCTACTAGAAAGGGGTTTATAGTTCACATAACAATTCTGCTTTGATAACAGAACTTCTTTTGCCTCATTCCTCCTTGCTTGGCCTCCCTTTCCCCTCTCTACCAGCAGGGTGCCTGCCATTCTGCAGAATTCATCTTAAGGTCAGGAGGATATTGCTCTGAATAGGAGAGTTAAATTAATCCTGGACTTGAAAAGTATTTCTTCTCAGCCCATTCAACCTCAGCTGGGAGGTACATTATACACAGACCTCCCAGCAGGGATTTCAAATAATACTGAGTTCTGAATAATAGGTAATAGTGTTTAAAAAATGCCAGTTAATTTGACCCATGAGCTTATGTTCTTCTTTAATGGAAGAAAGACTCAAAGAATATTTTTCCTGTTGTCTCCTCTTTTTGCCACAGCAGGTTGAAGTCGTGGTCCCCAAATGATATGAGACTGGCTTCTTTGCCAGAAGGTAGGAGGGACTCTTCACAGCTTGAGTTCAGCAACCACCACTTGCCCATCACATTGCACTGAGCCAAACCTCAGCTGCCATGGAGTCATCCAAGTGCCTCTGTAGCTGCTGCTGGAACTGCCTGAGTCTAAACCCTCACATCAACAGAGTTTGCCATCCCAAACCTGAATTCACCCTAACAGAGCTTTGCAGGTGTGATCATCCTGTTACTGCCTTTACAAGTGCTTGCCTCACCTCAGTGCCCCAGCCTTCATGTATGTCCTGTTCAAGGACCCATATCCAAGGATTCTGCTGGACTCTATTCAGAGTGATGTGGAAAAGGGTGGCCTTGTCCCTGTGCTTTTTCAATCTAACCTCTGTGGTTCTCTTCCTTATTATTTAATGATTTGCAGCCAGTATTTTCACTATTATCTAATTCTGAAGTGCAGAATGGCCAAGAAAAACACTGTTAAAGCAACATATTGTGGAATGCTGAAACAGTTCAAACAACAGCCGCCCACATAATGCAACATATCCTCTCTGAGGTACACACCAGCATTTTAACATTGCATTTCAGGACACCACATCTACAAAGCTTCCTTCAAGTCCCGCAGAAAGTGCTGTTGTGATTTTAGCAGTCTAAAGATAAATAGATTTACATGGCTTTCACATCTCCAGCACTCCTGAGAGACTAAAGTGGCTCAAAGTGAAACTGAACGGCAGCCAAGGAGAGTGCTTCAAAGGGATGCAGCTTTAATCAGGTAAAATGATGGCTTTGCACAGTGTATTTAATGGGAAAAAATACCATAAATTTTCAACAAAGGAGCAAGAACTAGAGAGGCAGAGTATTATCAGTAGTTAAGAGAAATTCTTACCAGAAATATTAAAGTTCTTACCTGATAAAGAGCAAACTTTGGGATAATGTTCTTACACTTAAGGAGAATCCTAACTTTTCGAAACATGATTCCCACTGCCCACAGAGCAAAAAGGGTGAGGGCACCAATGAAGCAGCTGATCCACAGTGCAGGTCCTTTGGGAGACAACTGAGAAGCAAATCACACAACCTTATACAAACTTACTTTAGCGTTTTCAGGAAGAAGCTGTGAACTGGATGATGTTAAAATGCTTTTTTCTATCTCCATGAAAGCTGGTGGCAGCAGCAGTTGCTGGGTTTTACATGGGGAAAGCACCCAGTACCAAACTGAAGTGTTGGCACAGGCTCTGCTCCTGCAGGCACCAGCACGGAGATGTGTTCAGCCTGGGGAGGTGCCAGGTGACACAAGCCCTCAATGTTGCAATTGCCAGCCATGGAGTGTATGCCTTTTCAGAGACCCCAGCAGCAGCTGGCAATGCTCAACAGCTCATGAGAGTGTGTTCAGCCTGACATCTCAGGTGGGCTGTTCATTTTATAACATGAAACGACAAAAATATTACTTTAAGTCTGAGTTACCCATAAGGTGCCAAATCATTATCGGATACAGATTCCTCCATAATTTTGCAGGTTACATGGCACAAAGCAGAAGTACTGTACTATCTTTTTATTTTGCACAGATAAAAATCACCATGACTTGCTGAAAAACATAGAATTAGGCTTCCTGTTATCGTGCCAGTACATACACTTTTTTCTTAAGGCTGTACCTTACAAAACACAGGGCAGATACACAGGGCAATTTGCAGTCCTGCTATTCTAACCATACAAGCTGGGAAATGCATTTGAACATAATCTGATGCCCAGCCCCTCCCTGCCACCCCCTGATGCCCAATTCCTTTCCAAGAGAGTCGAGGAAGGCAGAAATTATATCAGGATCTCAAAAGACTACAGTAAGGACTCACATGGAAGTGGTCTCAGATTAGTTGTAGGCTAAGATAGTTACATCAGCCCTAAAACCTATGGATTTTGAGGACCATCTCTGATTAAAATAGTTACTTACATTGTAAAGGACATAATTGCCATTAGTCCAAAGCACTATTGATAAAAATATGAGCACAGGCCGAAAGACAGCAAACTGAAAGGTGCCCATCTTCAGCCAAAAGAGGGTTTGCCTGGCCAAAATAAAACATAAAGTAAAATTAAATCAATTAGCTAGGCCCAGATCTTATTAGCAACCTTAATAACATTTTCTGGATACTGTCAACTGCAAAACTTTTGCAATCCTGTAGCATGTTACTAAAATTTGGTGAGGAACAGCTTCAAGATTAGAAAATATTTCCAAGAATTTCCCAATGTTTATTTAATAAAGCCTCTACAAAAATAGTACTTTTCTTGCTCTGCAGCAAGTATGTACTAACCAAAGCTGGGTAAAACATGATGTCTTTCTCTGCCCTGAAGCCAACCAGGGAGACAGTAGCTGCATAACCGGTTTCTGAACAATGATGCCATTTGCTCTTGCCTTGTTGCCTTATTATTTCAATTCTCCCATGAAATTGGACAAACCAGCCTGTTCAGCCACTTCCTAGTCCTGTGGTAGATCAAGAAAGGGAATCACACAGACCTAGTTGAAAGGACTGGTAGTTTTTCAGTGCATCATGAAGAATACCATGTAAGAATCTGGGTTTGCTCTTCTATAGTCTAACAGAAGAAAGGAACAGCCTCTCACTTGGTAAATTGCACAAGGACAGCAGGACAGCTCAGGATTCCTTCACTTCTGTCAGTATAACGTGGGTCCAGAACACACATGTAACTTGGCCAGTCAGCACTAAAGTCCACCAGGAAAGGGGCAGATGAACTTTCTGACAGAGGGCATAAAAGCAGACTGACTGAACTCTCCTTCGGCTTTCACAGGAGAAGCTGCAGCTACTACAGCTGTCTCATGTTTTAGTCTGTTACTGTGCATTATTTCCCACATTTTCAGTGTTGTTTTCACTGGAGTTCCTTGGGCTCTTGACACTGCCATCAGAGATGCTGCACAGACAACAGGCTGCCATTTAGTGTGCTAAAGGATATAGCCACGAACCAGGAATTATAGGAATTCCTCAATGAATATAGCTAATAACCACAGGATTATCAACAGTACAAACACATGTGGAAAGACCTGCAATGGGCCAGCCTCTTAGTGTGCGCTTTTTCAAAGATTTATTAGTCCCAGAGGGCTTTAAATAATAATAGATAGGACAAACAGTGCAGTCACTGCAATGGCACGAATTGTTTCCCTTGTTAATAAGGGCCCATCTTTACTGATCACCAGATCTCTTCTGCCACATCTCTCCCTATTGCATGGATTGTTACATTGCCTCATCTGTATTTTGTTATTCTCCCCAGCACTGCAGATATGAATTTTTTTTTTAAAAATGGATCCTTCCCTTGGGGTAGCTCCCTGTTTCCCCATAAGATACCTATGGAAGGAACATGAGAAACATTACTTTTCTCATGTATAGCTTGCCAACACATTTTTTTTAAAAAGGTACCCTGCAATGGAAAAAGGCTAGAGATTAGAAGCAGAGAGCAGATGGGTTTCCCTGTGGTGCAGACACTGGAGAAGGAGGCCTAAGCCCTCTGCAAAGCAAAAAGCCTTTTTTAATTTTAAACAGACAGCTGTCCTTCCTGCCAGTAGTAGTAGGCGCTGTCTGGCTCCTGAAATGAGTCCGTAGTAGCTGACATCATCCTGCATAAGCTGCCACTGGGCTGAACAACAACAGGGCAGAGTGGGGGATCCTCTCCCAATCTCCCAGCTACCACAACCTATACAGAGGGTGACAGACATGGGAAGAAAAACAAACATGCATCTTTGGGTTGGTTTACTACCTCTTCTTCGTCATACCGTCCCCTTGTAAATAATTAATGTTACTCTATTAAAATAAAATTATGGAAACGAAAGTTTAAATTCTAATACCAAATGAGGCAGCTTAAGGAAAAATGATTGTAATAAAAATTAGAATTTTTGAAAATGCATCAGAAACCATTGTGCTGTGTTCTGTTTGATGCTTTTCTTCAAACAGATCATACAGTCCTCTAGGACCCTCTGACACTAAAGCCCACACCCTCATAGAAAAGTCTCTTTTGTAAGCTCAATCTCTTAGATTTTGCTTATAATGAGAGAAACAGCTTCATGCTCCATGCCAGTAGGAAAGCTCAGGGAAATACACGAGGTGTCCAGGCTGTGGAGTGGTGTGTAAGTGACGGGGTGATGTTAACCAGAGCAGGAGCACCACCAGGCAGTGCTCAAAGGAGGACAGGTTTATGTTACAGTATATTGGCTCCTGTAGCTCTCCATCCTTACCCCACTTCTCAAAGATGCTTTAATGCTAAGTTTAGAAGAAGAAAACATCTTCTTTTGCCTCACCAGACAATGCCATTTCATTGAGAACAAAGCTTTGCAAGAATTACATCTACTTTTTGTTCTAAAAATTATATTAATCTCAAGTAGTTTTAAAGTTCATGTCAGAATGAAACATTTCAATTTTATCAAAGTGAGAGAAATTTTCTATCAAGAGAGCCTCCATTTGACAATTCTGTTTGTGAAAAATACCCAGTCTCAAGATTGGGTATTTTTCCCTTCTGGAATGAAAAGAAACTGAAATGTCAATTATTAGGTTTTCTAGAGTAGAAATTTCTCTTCCCACACACCTCTCCATTATAGGAACGAAATGAATTAATGGTAGTGTACAGCCCCAAAGTGATGATGCTGTTTAAAAGAGACATCTTGAGATGGCCTGAGACTGACTTTTGGGAAGCTTTGCTGCTAGCCTGGCCCTGCCAAGCAGGCTGAATTCCAGCAGCCGTTTTCAAGCTGGGAAATCATAAAGGGACGACTCACCTGGTGATGGGCACACGAGGCAGACAAGGGCAGCAGCAGCAGCAGGGGCCGGTGCTGATGGTGAAGCGACCATTTTCAAACCTCCTGAGGAGCATCTTCTGGCCTCCACACTCTTTAATCATCATCATCAGGAACTTGTGGATAACTATGGCAAAAAATCTAGGAGAGGAAGAGTATTCCAGCTTAAACTTGCCTGTGTGTCTCATATGCCTGTGCAGGCCAGTGCCACCTCCGTACAGGGTTTTTACAGCTTGTGCTTGGCAATCAATGAAAATTCTAGCTCTATCTTTGAGACACCTTCTGCTTTCCATCACCTTGGAGGAGCAGAACAGCCCTAACCTCACTGAAAGAGGAATAAACTGAGACACAGAGCATGTGTGGAATTTCACAAAGCTGATTTGGCGTCTGGTTGCAGAGTCGGTATTAAAGCACAGGCTTTCCTGGCCCCAGTCATTCTGGCTGTATTTTTCCATAAGTTATCCGGTTCTGACTAGTCTGAGCTTTTTAGAACAAGTCCTCTTTCTCCTCAAACATGGCTTTCAACCAGCAAACATGGCTAGGTTCACATAAATAGCTATCACCAAATGTGCTGGCCCAGGCAGGGTGTGGTTCCTCTGCAGACAAAGCACCGACTCCTGCAACCCCACCTCTCCCTCCTTTCCCAGCTGCACATTCACAACCCTACCCAGGAACTGCAGATTATGCCACCAAACATGGGAATCCAATCAATAAAAGAGGTCCTCTGCTGCACTGCCTGCAGCTTGGGCAAGGGAGAAAAGGGAATTTGAATTCCCTTTAATTTAAATAAATTTAAATACTTGAAGTGCCACAAGACTGTATTGTTGGAATTTTGTGGCAATCTGCATTACCTGCACACGCTGCTACATTCCAGCAGTGTTCCCTGCTACTGTGAGGTCCCTCCTCTTTTAGTCATCCCCAGGTTTGGAGTGCTCAGGGCCATGGCATAGCCCTACTCGGTCCTGCCCACCAGGGCTGTACCACCACCTCCAGGAAGCAGGAACCACATTTCTCCCTTCTCTGTGCATGCCGGAGCTGTCATGCTCACACATAAAGTGCTTTCATCAGGACAACTGTGGAATATTTTTACATTGATATACTCATCGGGGGCTCACTTGGCACCATTAATAATAGACCTCCAGGGCTCATCATTAGTAAAAGTGCAGGGAAGAAGTCACAGGCCAGACTCTCATTCCACATGGCATGCAGAGAGAGGAAAGACAGACTACTGCTCCAAAGAGACTGTCAATCTAAGGAATCAATTACGTGCGAGTCACAGATCCTTCATACTGATGTTCCCACACTAGGGGACTGCAGCACTGGGAACTGTTTCAGCAATTTCCACCTCCAAGGAAAGAGCTGCCAAGAGATTTCAACTCAAACAAAAAAATTACTGAATTGTTAAATTTACTGAATGACAGTGTTACCAAGAGCAGCAGATGTTAAAAGGGAAGAAATTCAGTGTTTGGAGCAACACCTAGAAACAAGCAGAATACTCACATTCCTGCTGTGAAATCTGTAAACATTGTTGAGCGAGGAACCCACATGCCAATGCATGAAGTAGTAGAGATGACCTACAGAGAAAAGGGAGGAAGGTTGTCTGAAGGGCAGAGATAAATCTCATGTGGCCCCTGTGGATTTTCAGAGAAGCCCTATTTTCAACACTGAATTTTATCTCATTTCTGTGTTAACTTACTGGAGCTGCAGCATTAATCCAAATTATGATTGATCTTTTGGAGGAGGGGATTTTCCTGTAGATGTAGACTGCTTCCTCTATAAACACCAGAATGGCAATGAGCGTCATCAAAGTCAAGGTTGCGAAGAGAAATCTCCCTGGTAGGTCAAGGCCTGCAGAGAGAGAAAAGAAAACAGGAAGTCCTGATTTATTTCATAAGTTTTCTAAATATTAATGTAACAACACCATCTCTGAGGAGCTTCTTTGGTCAATTCCTGCAAATACTTACGCTCATCCCTAGTTACACAGGCAGACCAGTGATTGACTCCACAGAACCATTCCAATACTGAAGTTCATGACTAAATCTTTCCAGGATCCACAAACAGCAGGTGGGAAGAATATGCCTTCATCTTCTCAAAGCATTATGCAATAGTCCCTTTCAGAAAGGGGGAATTCTGGGACAAATATCCTTCCGTGAATGTAAATATGCAGCAGAAATAAATTCATAACCTGGGAACTTTTCCAGGCAGGTTACAAGCAAACATATATTCACTCAGTATTACTTCTCTGCTTCCATTATATGTTCATAGGCATGCTACATGAAACTTCCTTAGGCAGGCAAACTTACTAGAAGCTTCATGGAATTTTGTAGGACACACGAACAATGTAAGGAAAAGCCCCTGATATACCTAGCCTGATATAAAACTTGGTGTCTTCACCAAAATCTGTTTTGCTTCTCCCTTAAAGTTGCATATGGGTATCAACATTTCCCTATCCCCATAGGTGATAGGTTTTATATCTCCATTGACATTGGATATGGATATCAACTTTGACCCACAACTGACAGTTGAAGTGCATTTTGTCCCAAGGGATGTGTTTCCAGAGACAGAAAAAGGCACTGCAGTGGAGTCATGCTTAATTTAGGAGAAGTTCAGTACTAACTCCTGCCGGACCCGCAGCCGACCTGAAAGCAAAGCAGAGCATCTGCCCCAGCCTCTTTAACCTAACCTGCTTTAAAAAACCCCGGCACTTCCAGACTTGGCTGCAGGCGGGGCAGTACACTTCTCAGTCGACGTCTCCACTCCTCAAATCTCACCGGACGGCGCCCGAGACCCGGCGCAGCTCCAGGGGCCGGTTCAGCGCTCGGTTCCGCGGGTCCCGGGCGGCCCCGGCGCCCCCCCCGCCCTGTTCTGTGACATCCCCAACCCACGGCTCCGGGCTGGGGCCACGCTGTGCTCTCGCCCTGCCCCGAAGCCTGCTCGGGCCCCAGAAAGGAGGAGGAGGAGGATCTGCCGGGACAGGCGGGTGCCGGCCTCCGCTCGGGGATTTCCTCGCCGGGGAAGAACGGCAAAGGGGAACGCAGGGACAGGGCCAGGGGGACGGGCAGGGACAGGGGTATGGACAGGGACAGGGGGACGGGCAGGGCCAGGGGCACGGACAGGGAGAGGGGCACAGGTAGAAGCAGCAGCATGGGCAGGGCCAGGGCCAGCCCCTGCCATCCCGCCGCGGGCAGGTGCCGAGGGCGCTGCCGGGCAGGGGCAGCTCCCGGGTGCCCGGCGGGTGCAGGCGCCACCCGGCAGCGGGCAGCCCCCTCTCCTCCCGCTCCACACTTACTCCGGAGAAGCTCCTCCGAGTAGGGCGGCTCGCTGGCGCCGCAGGACGGGTTCAGAGTCCCGTTCGCCTCGCCCTCCATGGCTGCGCGGCCGCCGGCCCCCTGGCGGTGCCGGGGGCTGGGGACGGGCGGCGGGGTCGCTGCGTGCCCGGGCGCCGGTCCCTGGCGAGTGCGGCCGGCGATGCGCGGCGCGGTGCCGGGGCCGGGCCCGGTTAATGATTACCCCGAGCCGGGGCGGGCGGGGACCGACCCCGCGCTGCCTCCTGGCGCCCCGGCACGGCGGCACGGGCAGCGCCGGGCCCGGGACAGCGCCGAGCCGGGACAGCGCGCCCACCCCGCTCCCACTCCGCCTGTCACGGGCCACGGCTGCTCCCGGCTGTTCCCGGATGTTCACGGCTCTTCTCGGCCGTTCCCCGTGTTTCTGACCGGCCCGGAGCTGCTTGCAGAACCCAGCCGGCCATCCCCGGGCCCATATTGACAGTCCCAGGGTGTCGGGGCACCTGGAGCCGGGTCCCGGCAGCCGAGGCGGGGACTGGAACCTGCCGAAGGGCGGGCGGGATCCCCAGGGCGGTGTCCGCCTTCCCTCCAGCCCCGGGGCACGGGCGGAAAGCTGCTCGGTCAATGGGACAGGTGTTTGCGAGACTTTTCATGGAGCCCTTCACCAAAGGCTCCCCGATCATCTCGGCTGCAACGAGGTGAGTCGCTGAAGGAAAGCACAGTCAGGGTAGGAATACACCGAGAGCGTCTCCACTTTCCCACAGTTTCCTCTGCTGGAAGGATTGTTTCTGCAGCCTGAGCATTTTCAGGCCGTTTCCAGGAAAAGGGAATGAGTAGTGAAACGATGGAATTTGGTGACCCACCAAGTTGCTCAGGATACTCGGGCTGGAAGCTGGCTAACCCTAATGGTTACAGCGCTGAGTGACAAAACAACAGGACACACTGTAACAATGGGCACAGAGTGATGTCCGGGGGGAGCAGGACAGTCCTAATTACCTATGCTGTGATAAGCGATTGCCTCACGAAAAAGATCCTGGGGGCACAATGGACAGTCCTCAAAAATGACAGCAAGAATCAGGATGAGACAAAATGCAAAGTACTGTGAAAATTTTTTGACTAAATAAAGGAAGACAAAAAACAGCTAAAATACATATGGAGGCCTCCCTTCACCATGGTGGTGTTCTAGAAAGTTGAACAAATTGAAGTGGAGAGGTGAAGAATTTGGGACATTTTTAAGCACCAAGGGCCCTTGTGGTAAGGGCTGTCATCTTGCAGTTTTCACGGGATTTCCAAAGGTTTTACAGGAAGGACAAATCAGACACTGAATCACTGCCAGCAAGAACACAGGGATGCAGAGGAGAACTGGGCTACTTACTGTCTAACACCAGCAGGTACCCAACTGAGAGAAGGCAGGCTCCTTCCAGAGTGGTAGGATTTGGGAGTAAAACAGGAGAGGCTACTGCCAGCCTGTTCTGTTACAGTCAGGAGAGCTTGGTTACAGATAAAAGTAATTTATTTCAAGTCCTCCTTGGCATTGCTGACATTGTTTTCACTGCATTGAGAGGTGAGGATGAAAGCCTCCCGGTTTCACCAGAAGGGATACCACAGTAAGTGGCTGTTGGAATGTGGTATCTGCCCAGTTTTCACAGTCTGCCCAGAGCGTTCTCCATCCAGCACATCTGCTGCTGCCCAGCTGCAGAAGCATACTGGCAAAATCCGTGCAACACAGTTCCAGCTTATTTTGTTTTTGAAAGTCTGTTTTCTCATCCTGAAGAAACAGTTGCTAGTAGACAGGAAAATTACTTTAAAAGACCATTCACTTTCTACACAGTTTGCTTGATTTTTTTAACCAACTATTTTCAGGTGGTTATATATATATATATATATATATATATATATATATATATTCCAAAATATGACCAAAAGCTCATTAGGATTGCTGAGATTTAAAGATGGCCCAAGGCCTTTGAATGTTCTTCCTGAGCAGACACAACAGGATTCCCATCTGTTGCTATTTTGGTTGCCAGCTCCTTGTATTCCCTGAAAGATAAAAGTAAAAACCTCTTACCTGTGAATTCCTTTTTCTGAATGAGGCACATTTGGCAGTGCTTGTGTTAAAGACATTCATACACTAAGTGTAAGAGACTCAAGAATTCCTTGAACTCAGTAGCAGCTTTGGATTTGACACTCATATTTAAGCCATTCAGAAATACCAGTTTGGAACATATACTGCAGCAGACACTGAACATGGCATTAGAGAGTTTCCTGTCTCAAACCTATAGAAAATTAACAGGCTGAAGTTTAGAGGTTAAGGATTAATTCCCACCTGCTGCTGAAGGGGTCCATCCAACTCTCTTCTTCTACTGGAGTGTCTCATGCAAAATAGAGTCTAAAAAGAAAGCCACAGACCTTCTTTTTTGTTAGAAACACTATTTGCCATTTTTGGGTTGAACATTGGACCCACTTCCTTAAAAGCTGTCATATGTCCTGCAGGGATTGTGCACCACCTCTTCCTCACATTATGTACTGTGTCTTGGCAACAATATTTTCCTGACAGTGTTTAAGTGTAATAAAGCAAACTGAAGAATATGCCCTGATCCCTCAGTTACCACAGCTGGAGGTCAGCTGCTCTGTACTCACTTTCTTAGACCAGATTCTTCAGTGGTGCCCTCTCTGCTCTGCCCTCTAAGCAAAATGCTGTGTCTCTACATCAGCAACGAAACCTTCAAATTCTCTTAAGCCTGAGTATGTATTCCTCCCAGCTTCACTGTTTCACTTTTTGATTTAACCTTTTAGTTCAATATTTTCTATGGAAAACCAACCAACCAACCAACCAACCAACCAACCAACCAACCCCCAAGCCACCATCAGCACTAGAAGAGTATTTATAAATGGATCTCCTATCCATTTAGATGCATCAAGAGATTGTCACAGGTCCTCAGAATAAAAAACACCTTTGAACACAGTTCCCTGCCTCTACTGACCACAGGCTTTCAAATGCTTTGTGGTTCAGCCCCCTTCCAGAAACCGCACAGCTCAGACTTGTTTCTTCTCAAGAAACTTTTGCTTCTACTTTGCCCCTTTGCTTCTACTTGTGTTCATCTTTAGAAGAACACTGCAGATGCTTATCTTTCTGCCATTTTTATGATGGCTTTAATTTTTACCTGCCTCACTGAGTCCTCTTAGCTCTGTAGAACAGGATGCCTGTAGTGATCATTGCCCCACAGCGTGTGGTGCAGAGGAGCTGATGCCATCTCTAGTGTCTCCCTGTGTTGTAGTGCATTTAAAAAAATTATGGTATGTCCCAATGGAAGAACTCACCCTTGGTTTTGTATAAGGTTAGTCCCTACCTAACCTCCCTTTCTTTTTCCCTATCTCATTGGCTGTAACCCCCCTGTATCCCCTGACCACCCCTCCCCCTAGTTTAAGAGATAGCACCCGAGGCATCTCGGCCTCTTTCTTGCCCCAGGGCGAACCACATACAACAAACCCGGGACCACGTCTCACAAGTCTGAGCCTCCTGTGTCTAAAATACCTAGGTCCATGTTATATATATTTTGGGACTCCTTCCTGCCCGTGTTCTGTGAAGAGCACATTCCCACAGGGGGCAGAAATGAAGGGGTTTGCGGAATAATTATGACATCCCTGAAGGAAGAATACTGGCCTTCAGAAAGTGACATAGCCCCTCTACCCCATGTTGGTGGGCCAAGCCTATAGACAAAAACCTGATGTCAGCCCTGGCTCAGAAACTGAACAGGCAGGATCCTGCAGATTATCTCACAGGACAACTTCAAAGGTCCATTGCACAGGATACATAGGATAGGCTATTACATTTTGGTTGTAGGAAGTGTAGCAGACATCAGCATCATCAGTGCAGACAGCAAAGATGGGATTTGTAGTCACTTTCATAGAATCATTCGGTCTGGGAAAGACATTTAAGATGATCAAATCCAACCACAAACCTAACACTGCAAACAGTTCTGAGGCAAGGCTAACTCACCTCCTGGCAGGATACATAAACTTCAAGACCCTTACACTACTTTAATCAGTGAAAATGTACATTACCTGGAGAAGGTTCCACCTGATTCTGAAAGGGCCCCAACAACTGTGAACTCCAGGGACAGATACCAATATGTGGAGCAGCTGCATTTCCTAAGTGAGGTTAAAAAACAAGGTAGGTATTTGAAGTTCAGTTGCAGAAAGTAAAGGATGTGAGTTGTAGATGAACATACTCCAGAGGTGCCAGAAGGAAAGGTTACTACGCCTACCTGATTCTCGTCTGCTGACAGTTCTGGTCATGGGCCTCCAATCATACAGATAAATCAGCTAGTTTGACAGAGACAAATGATTTGAACTGTTTAACCTCCTCCCACTGCATTTGCTTAAGACAATTTGGAGGCTAACTGATACAGAGTGGTAAGCTGAATCATCCAGAAAGAGCCTAACACTCATTAAAGGGAGAGGTAATTACCCTTTTAAGTGCTGTTGCTGGATTTGAATTTCTGCATTTGTACACTAATTTAATGAAAAAGGAGGTAGAGCTTCAACAGTACCTCTGCTAGAGTGTGGACACAGGGAACACTATAAAAGTACTTGCAACTATGCTTGTATGAAAGGATGTGATCTATACTGATGTGAGAAACTCATTTCACAATTACTCATAATGTGAGTAAAAACTTGTGTAAAAGAGTCTTTAAACTTGGGTTAATATTTCAATACAAATGAAAGCAACTGGTTCCTCATTCATTGTGAATGGACGGAAAACAAAAAGAAACAAATATAAATAAAAAGAACATTCACAGAAAGGAAGGAAAAAATGAAAGATGAGTGGAAAAATAATACTAACTGATGATTTAAAATAATGGCAAAACCTAGATTTCATTCATTCACTCAGGAGGAGAGGTATCTCCAGTTTCCTTTAGAAGAAATTTAGATTCCCTCTGTGTGCTCTGCCAAAACAAAACTATGCTTTAGTCAAGCATGAAGTACTAGATAAAAATTCAGAGGAACTTGATGAAATTACAGGGAAGAAAACAAACTTTTTGAGTTTTTGTCCTGTTCAGCAGAGTTCAATCTAACAGGAA